TGAGGAGTTGCCTGCTCTTCCCAGGTTTTTAGCATGTACACACCCGAGGACGGAAAAGCATTACAGATGAGAAAGAAGGTGCTGCCTTGGAAACATTTTAGTTCTTTAAAAGTAAATGTTTTTCGGCTCTTAATTGATAAAGGGTAACACTTCGCAGCTCTTCAAGGAGCTGGGACTGTTCTTCCTCAGGGTACTGAGGTGAGAATTGTGTTAGAGCTGATTTGGTTACTCTGTCCATTGACAGCATGTCAGGGGCTATACTTAACTGTTATTTACGCCCCTTTATCAATAAAACCTGCTTTGGGGTCGTGATTTTTTGGCATTTCACAGAAAAGGACACCTGAGGTAGGCGTAACCAGCTCTAAAATGTCGTATCGCAACTCTTAGTTTGATGCGAGGAGTGTGTGGGTTGACGTTGTAAGAACCCTCAGTGGAAAGGAGTTTGAGAAGAGTTTGTAAAAATGAGTTTATTCTCTCTGATAAAAGTATTAAAGCCAATTAAAAAAGCCTTAAACAAAACCAAAGGAGTATTTTCAGTAAGTGAAGGGCTCCTCAAGCAGTTATCAATGCTGCTCTTCTTAGAGGTGTGGGATTACACGTGTTCTGTTAAACAAGCATTAAACATTCAACCAGTGCTTTCTTTTTTTCCCCTCCCCTTCTCTTCCCTTTCTCTTTTATGTAGTTTCACTAGCGCGCCTCACCTGTTCTGTTCCAGAGTGGGTTGTGACCTCAAGAGCTGCGTGAAGAGTAGCCAGCATGAAGCGAACAAATCAGTCCAGGCAGAAGTGCAGAAGAGTCAAGAACATAAATGTAAATTCAGGGGGTTTAAATTGTGGTAGTTTCCTCAACACTTCCAGCTTACGCTGGAAGAAACCCTTTTGCCAGGTTTCTCTTGTGACTGGCCTGGGTGTTTGGGCACACCAGAGACCTGGCTGGGATGGAAATAAGTGTCTTTTTGGCCGGGTGAGTTCTGGCCCCCCTTAGTTTCCTGACCAGTAAGCAGCAGTGTTAGATACACTCACGCTAACGCGAGGAATAGTTGGGGTGACGTGCGGGGGAATGAGGAGGGGGCGGTTTCAAGGCAGGGATGGCCTCTCTGACAGAGTGAAAATGAGGCCTTGCTCCTGGTTTTCCACCTCCAAAGGTGTTTTCCTCCAAGGTCGAGTTACCTTTTGTGGGCTTGGCCTATGAGACTGTTTGCAACGTGAGTCCAGCTCAATTAGGTATAAAATGGATTCAGGCACTTAAAAAGGCGTGTGGGCCTCTGCCTAGAGTTTGCCTGGGTTTGATTCTGTGTACATCTGTTCCAACACTCATGAAATCAGATTAACTTTTCTCTAATTCAGAAGCAAGAATGGCTAAATTTCAGCTCCGGGACTGTCTCGTAGGTGTCTCAAATTCCCCTGGAATTTCCTGTCCCTGCACCAACTACACCTCTACGTTCGACAGCCTGACATTAAGTTAACTACAGCACTGACTTTTAAGTTTTCCTGAGGTGCAGCAGGGGTGTCATTTGTGAGGTGACTAAGTCTTACCTCACAGGCTAGGGCCCGTGTCACCATCCTGCTCCCCCGATTTGAAACCTGAATTCCCTCCCGTGAGCAGAGCATCGGTGCTTAATGAGTGCTCTCCTGAAGAGAAAAGGAAGAGCTGTTTCCCCAAAAGTTTGGGTTTGGCTACTTGTTCATCCAGGTTGAAAACAAAATCCAAAGCCTTGGAGCTGGTTGGGAAGTCTCCGGAATGCCATGAAACTTGTTTTGCTGGTCTCGTGTTTGTTTTTTTTTTTTTTTTTCCCCCCAGGTGTGGTAGTTTCTGCTGTTGCTGGTTTTGATATTGTGCAGCACTGAACCAGATGGCCAAAAAAAAAAATCTTCCTCTGGTCAAACTGATTTTTGAAGGAACACTTTTTTCCTATTAGCAGTTTGCCAATAGCCTAAATGAAAGCTTAAATTAACCACAAATACTTGCTGATACAACTACTAACCTTTTCCAACATTTACCTGTGTTATTAGACTACTTTTTTTTTGTGGCAGTGGATTTTAGAGGATTTTATTTTACCCTGAATTATCTGTTTTTCTCCAGGAAGTATTCCTGTGGTCTTTTGTGAGCAAATTCATCCCTTTTGTAAAAGGAACTGATGAAACTGAATTCCTCTATGACTGCTGCTTTTAAAGTGTAAATCTTTCTGTACTTTGCACCTGATAAAATGGATGTTTGTCCTGAAATGAGCTGTCAGGTTAGCGAAACAGAACACTTGATACCGAAAAGGGAAATGTTGCCAAAAGAAATTATTGATAAGGAAACATTTAATTTGTATTTCCCCACTAGAGAGTTCCGTGGTGGATTAAAGAACTGGTGTCATCTAGTGCGGCTGCCCTAGCAGATATTGGAAGAGATAGGGAAAACTTAAGACTAAAATTTCAAACAATATTAAAAAGGAAGGAGAAGCTGAAAAAGAATGAAGATTTAAGAATATTTGCTAACGATAGAACTTTAATTCTCCAGCTTGAAAGGCAAAAAAACAAGGAGAGGGGGAGAAAAAAGATACTTCCAGAAATAAAGCTGAAACGATTTTACCAGGCTGCTTCCCTCGTTGAAGCTTAACACATCAAATTAAAAGTTAGTTACAGCCCAAGTGACTCGAGTACGTGTGGGATCTGTTGCCAGGTGATTTATTTTTCTCCACAATGCACGTTGCAAGCGGTTGACGTTCTTGTGCTCTGCTTTCCCCTCTGTTGCAGCTACAGCTTGTTGCAGCTGAATTTAGCAGGGTTAGTTCTGGAAGAGCCGGGATTCTGGGGCCTTTGGTCGCTGTCAGGTGCAAGGGTTAAGAGGGAGCTTGTTCTCTTGGGGGCCTGTAGTCCGTGGAGTTCTTGATCCAAAGCAACAGGTTAACTTCATCGTTAGTACTTGCAGAAAACGCGATGTTTTGTGGTTAAGTGCCGTCGGATTTAAACCGGGAGGCGCCCACAAACTGGCTGTGACCCAGGGGATGCTGGAAAGGAAGCGTGGTGGGTGGCACAAAACTGCCCCCCAGCACCCTTAGGCTGCTCCCTTACCTCTCTGTGCCCGAGCAGTCCTGTGGGGATTCAGATTTATTTGTTTATTTTTAATTCATTTGAAGCTGTGATGGTTGAGAAGCGGTGTATTTGATTTTTTTTCACTTGTTTTTCTTGTTTTCAGTGCCAGTGTTGAAAGTGGCAAAGAGGAAATGAGAGAACAGCTGGAGGTGGGCATAGCAGTCATAACCACTGGATATGGAATTTAATGCTGTAGGCAAATGACATTTTAAGTTGGCAGTGTGAGAAAATTACTTAATGAAAAAGAAACTCAGCCCAGCTTTCTAGTTTCTGCCCCTGATAGTAAATCTTTCACGTTTTGCACCGTGAAAATATCCTATCCCAAGTTGTTCACAGGATGCTACCTGCTTTTAAAAGTTTTGCTGAGCTTCGTCAGGTAGTTTCACGTTCCTAGACTTATCTTTAGAAGGAAAAAAGAGGGAAAAAAACCGGATTCCTAAGGAATTCAACACTTTTGTACAAAGGCAAACCTTGCTGGGGGGATGCTTGTCCCTCTGCACAGCTTTGTCCCTCTGCAGAGCTCTTTGGGGATTTATTATTTTATTTTTTTTTTAATTCTAGGGCCACACTGTGCGGAGAATGTTTTTCAGTGGGGAGAGAGGACCTTAAATAGGGCGAGGGGGTCTTTGAGAAGGGGTTACACGCACACCCACCTCCTGCTGTTGCTTCGAATCTGCTCATGTCCTTAAATACTTAGACATAAATATTGGCTGCAAGCAGGGGCGGAAGCCTGTTTGTCCATAAACCCTCTGGGATGTTTTGGTTTTTCTTTGAATTTTTCTCTTGGTTTAAATGGCAGAAATACCGCATAACTGTAAACTCTTGTACTTAATTCCTCTTTAGAGCTTTGAGAGGTTCACAGGGTACGCAGGAGAAACGTTAATTCTCCCATTTTTTAGCGTGATGCTTTATTTCCACTCGTGTATCAGTTCTAATAGTGGCTAATTAATAAAGCCACCACAGTTTTGGAGCGGGATTGACTTAAATTCGATGCCTGACTGTGTCGCAGAGGGGTGGTGGTTTGTTTTCTTGTTTCTTTGTGTGTGCCAGTGTGGCTGCTGATACTTCCATTATTTTACGAGTACCAAAAATTTATTGGCTTTGTTGTTTCTATTGATTTTTGTATTATTATTATTTTTTCCTCGTGTCGACTGCGTGTTACAGCACTAAATCTGCTTTTCAATTGCGTTGAATGTTCCACAGCTTTTAGTGACTGCGCCTTGCGTGGCAAAAAAAGAAACATTTTGCTGTTGTTTGGTCCGTGAAGCTCGATGCAGTTCAGAGTTTGGGTTTTTTAACATTGACTGAGGGGCAGGCAGCTGCCTCCCTGTGGCAGTAGCTTTATTATAAATAATCAAGCTAGAAAAACGTAAAGAGGGTGCCCAGAAGGGGCTGTGAGCTGAGACTTTCTCCTTTGGAGCAGTTGGGGCTGTTGGCACTGAATTCTAGCAGCCTTTTAATTCCTTTCCTTGTAAAAAGGTGTCAGTGGTATCAGCTCCTTGCCCCATCTCATTTTGGCTCGTTTCAGGGGGGTTTTTTTATGGGCTGCCCATCAGTTATTGGAGAAAGCTTAGGTTAACCTTTGTTTTCCTCTTTAGATTCAGTCATTGCAGAGCTAAACTGTCGGGATGAGGTACAGCAAGTGGTAGGAAAGAGAGATGAAGATAAAAGCCAGAAATGAAAGATTGAGAGAATGGTAGGACAAAAAAATAAATAAATCTGTTCAGCAGTTTTTATTCCTAGTGGTCCTTTGTAGCAGTCTTAGTCAGAGTAAACAACATGGGTTCTCTGAAATTTTAGATTCTTGGAACTTTACTGGCTAATTTCTAGGAGTATAAATCTGTAAAAAGCTGAGGGAGATCCACTTCTGTAAAAATGAGTGGAAACGGAGAATCCTTGGCCAGCTGCAGGGTCACATCTGGTGAATTGATGGCATCTTCTGGTGACTCCTCCGATAAATAGAAAGCTTTCCTCTAAAACCCGCTTTGTGAAAAGGAGGATTAAGTTTAAAAAAAAATAAAAATAGAAAGCATAAAAGGTAGCAGGTATTTTATTGAGAAGCGCCATGGACAGGCAGCAGCAGCAGAGATGGAGAGTCTTTCCAGAGGGCTCATTTGAGACCGAGTTAGAAGTAATTTAATTTGAAAATCCACACTTTCTTGGGGAATCTCGGCAGTTTGGCAAGATTTTTTTGTGCTGGCTGAGACCTCAATCGAGACTCCTCCTGTATATTCCCGTCTTTTCATGGTACATTGTTAATGTGCAGTGGTTTCTAAGTTGCTTTTTGGTTTTGTTCTTTATAAACGCTTCCCCTGCTGACGAGATCCTGGTTTCAAAGCAGTTTTCAGATGAATTTACTGACAGGAACAGGCTGGTTCGCGGGGCGCTGAGCTTTGGATGTGGGGTTCGGGGGGCGACACC